ATTATTTATTTATTTATTCTTATTTACTTAATTATTAATTATTTCATTGATTTCTTTATTCATATGTTTATTGATTTAATAATTCATATTATTTTAATTTTTATTTATTTATTTAGTTCATCTCAATGGATCCACTGCAAAATGCCGCCAACTGGCGGTGCGAGGTTTGCAATGTGATAAGATCCGCGAAGGAATACTTGATAAACGATGCGAAAATAGAGGCAGAGCTGGAATCGCTGGACAAGACAACGCCGCAGAGCTTCGAGGATTTCCTCTATCGCCATCGCGTGGAGCTGCATGAGACGAATACGCATATTCTGCAAGCGAAATATGCCCTGACGCAGATCTATGGCAATGTAAAAGGCTTTGGCATGGACGGTAAGACTAAATTACCTACACTAAGAAACATATAAATATCCTATAATCTAACATCAATGCCTATAGAGCTCAGTGACGCCTCGCTCAAGCGGAAAGTGGAGCTCTGCGAGGAGCTATTGGAGATTTCGAATCTGTTTGATAGCGGCTGGAGCATCTTTCGAGGTAACTTGCTGATTGCCCTGGAGGAGGCGACTGTGGCGCAGGCTATGCGCTTGGATGAGGCCAGTGAATGCGAGGCGAAGCTGAAGAAAGCCGCCGAAATTTTGGAGGAAATCACAAATATTATGAAACACGAGCCGGAGATGCAACAGTTGCTAACAGAAAGAAAACAAATATTAGATGCGGCACTGGAGCGATTTACAAACAATGCTTAACAACTGTAAAACTTTATTCATCATTCAACGTGTTAATAAAATATCATTTTCAACTATTCGCTTCATAAAGAAACTTTGGCGGTTCTCGCGTTTGAATATTTGCAATAGTTGGCAACGCGTGAACGACGCCCCTGTGCATTAATCGACTAGCCACCACATGCGTATGTAAAAATCGAACTATCGTACATTAGCGATAGTTCTTGCACGCATTAAACAATTTCACGTGTTGCACGTTTTTAAATACTTTCCAAAGATTTTGTTTACAAAACAGTTAAAATGAGTGCAACTGCAGTAGAGAAACAGCCAGAGCCAAACGAAGCCGTTCCTGAAAATAAAGAAGCAGAGGAGCAACAAGTGGAAACAGCTGCAGATGGAGTAGAGCCAAAAGCCGGCAATGAATTCGATTATTTGGAGCGAAGTGAATTTACTTCGGAAATCTATAAAATAGAAGTGAAGAATATGGGATATTTTGGCATTGGGGTGAGTGAATACAGCAGTTGAGAGGTCTGCATTAATAACATATTCATAATCCAATGCAGGAGCTCAAAAAGCTGTTGAAGAACACGCTGAAGCTGGACATGACCAAAATAAAGTCACCCAACCGCAAGGAATTTGCCTTCGTTTGCTTTCGCAGTCAGGCGGATCAGCAGCGGGCACTGGAAACGCTTAACGGGTACAAATGGAAGGGCAAGATATTGAAAGCGGTGGCAGCTAAAGCATCCGCCGATCCGCTGCAGAAACGGCGTGGGGAAGCGAACGACAGCGATGTCAAACCGAAGCGACAGCGCACTGCCGTGGAGGCCACCTGTCCGTTGGCTGAGATGCCCTACGAGCAGCAGCTGGAGCAAAAGACAGAGGATATGTCTGCTCTGCTGAAGAAATACACACAGGAGTTGAGCCGTCTGAATGCCGATGCCAAGTCTCATCTGGACAAGTTTGAATTTAAGGGCGTTCTGCCCTCGCCCACTGTGCAAGGCTATAGGAACAAGAATGAGTTTACAGTGGGCAAAAATGCCGCAGGAGAGATTGTAGTAGGCTTCCGTCTGGGAAGCTACAGTGATGGCTCCGTGGAGGTGGCCGAGGTGCAAGAACTGCCACATTTGCCAGCTCAAGCCAAGTGGGCGGCGCGAAGCTTCCAGCAGCTGGTCAGACAATCCAAATTTCAGCCATTCAATCCCGATGGCAATGTGGGCCACTTCCGGCAGTTGATGGTGCGGTGCTCCAGTGCCACAGGTGAACTCATGCTGGTGGCTGGCATATACTCGTCGAATCTGAACGAAGCTGAGCTGCTAGAACTGCAGCAGGAGTTAAAAGCCTTTTATGAGCAGCCGGAGCAGAACGAAACCCACAAATGCACTTCGCTCTACTATCAGGATGTCAAGCATCGCGAGGCGGGGCAAATGGTGAATCCTGTCACCCATCTGTCGGGCAGCACGCACATCACGGACACCATTCAAGGGCTGCAGTTCCGCATCAGTCCGTTGGCCTTCTTTCAAATCAATACCGCTGGCGCCGATGTCCTTTATCAGCAGGCTATCGACTTGGCTGCGCCCAGCCAGGAGACAATCATGCTGGATATTTGCTGCGGAACTGGCACCATTGCCCTGGCCTTTGCCAAGCACTGCAAACAGGTGCTGGGCGTCGAGATTGTGCCGGATGCCATCAAGGATGCAGAGCATAATGCGGAAACGAATGGCATCAAGAATTGCAAGTTCTTTACGGGCAACGCCGACGACTATATAAAGAGCATGGTGCGTGAGGCCGTGTATGGCCAGGAGCCGGGCAAACCCATTGATTTAATAGCTGTTGTGGATCCCCCTCGCGCTGGACTGCGTAGGTAGTTGATGGACTCTAACTAGATAATTGAATTAACATTTTGTTCTCCCTCTCCTTTGATGCAGACACACGCTCCATAGCCGCAATTCGCTCAGCGAGCGACATCAAGCGATTGGTCTATGTGTCATGCAACCCCAACAGTGCCAAGCGCAATTTTATTGAGTTAGCTCGGCCCGAGTCCAAGCAGTACAAAGGGGAGCCGTTCTATCCGAAGACAGCTGTTGCTGTCGACATGTTTCCACACACAACACACACGGAGCTGGTCATCTTGTTTGAGCGTGACTCTAAGGCAACACCAGCTGAGTCTGTGGAGCCGGAGAGCACAAAAGAGTGCAACGAGACGCTGGCAGCAACAGCGTGATGGCAACGGTACAGTTTCTCAATACATATGGGACCTTGATGCCATTTTCACTGATAATCACTTTATTACAGACCTCTCTCGCTTGACTGTCTGCTCTGTGCGCCTCTCTGTCGCTTATCTCGATGTTGACATCCATCATCGGCTCTTTGTGCGGCCTGGGGTAGCAAATTTTATTGTTTTAAATTGAATTAATTGTATTTACGTTGTTCCGGCGTCTGCTGCGAAAATGCGACTTCCTGTTAAATAGTTTAAGAACTGTGCTCAGTAATATTCCCAACTCTCGCCAGTGTGATACGATCCCTTGATAAGAACTGTTTGCCAACCTAAAAAGCGCGAATCGCTTAAAATACAAGTGAAAACAAATTGTAAATTTCACTTGCGCCTCCCAACTGCGTTCGACTTTCAATTTGCATACATACATGCACTCGTGCACCTGTAGTGAATCGCGCGCTGACATGTCTGATCAGGTATGTCTTTTGACATATTCATACGAGAAATTAGTACGATCTTAACATGTAGATGCGAGAATGTTGATATTTGAACAAAGTTGTTTTATTTAACTTTATATAATTAAATTTTGACAATTGTAAATGGACTTTAATTAATTAGCTTAATATAAAAGATTTAATTTGTATATAAAAGAGGGATTCACAAATATTCTTTCATATTAAGATTCATAGTCAACTCATTAGGCTGTAAATAGACAGGGTTAAGCTCTAGTGTGAGCGAGTGTAGTATAGTCGTTAATAGCCGGTCTGTAAAAATAAGATTACGAAGTACTTAAACTTTGCACAACTTACACAGCTAATCAGCTGTATATTATTTTTCAGCCTTATCAGAGATATTATCGCAATGCTTTCAATGGGGTAAACAACTTTTGTTATTGCAAAAAAAAAAAAACAAAAATAATAAACAAAAACAAGTCACAATGTAACGGCAAAACAATATTGAAAACATGTTTACACAAACCAATGCCAGAATATCGAATGAGTGTGTGAAGTGATCGAGGGCACGTACATAGTCAATAAACTAATTTGTATGTGGGCATGTGTTTATGTTTGTCTGTATATGTACATACTTATGAATACATATGTATGTACATATATAATAAAGATTTATTTATATACATATATAATTATGAGAGCAGACTATCCGCAGCAAATTGCACTTTGGACTTTGATGAGGTGTTTGCAGTGTGAAATGTATTTTAAAAACAAAACAAAACACGACCGAAGCGAAGGTGGCAGTAAAATAAAAACAAAAAAATAAAGAGACAATTTACATAAATCAAATGAAAAACGATCGAGAGCTGCGACTATGCAAATAGAGCAACGAAGTCACAAAGGCAGCATCAGCTCATCTGAAATAATCTACTCTAGTATGTTTATATTTATATGTTGTGGGGCGTGGCGTTGCCTGGTAACACACACAAACACGCACATCTGATTTCATGAGCCTATAATTACGATCGTTGCTCGCATAGAGGAAAGACCTTGACTGCAGAGCTTTGGATTCAAAGCGATTTGCACACGGGGGCAAAAAGCTTTCGAGCTCGTACGAAATGTTTATTATGCGTTATCAACAACTCGAATGGGCGGCCGACGTAAACAAACAACAGGGAAAACAATGACCGCACAACCGACCCAAACCGGTTCTTTTGAGAGAGACGCGGCCAGGCATTGAGAGCAAAAGCTCACACAGCAACGGCATTAGGAGGGGCCCGACAAGCACGCCCCTTGCAACCGAAAACTTTACACGTGCGCTGCAACAGCGACGCCGACGCCAAGCACACGACCAACACGTTTTTGTTTGAAGCAGTGCGTGATTGACGGCGACTGTGTGTGAGACTGAGCTGCTGCTGCTCGCTCTCGCACGCGCTCTCTTTCACTCTCACAGTTGGCATTTGTTGTGTGCCGTTTGCTGATGTTGAGCTTTTCAGCTGTGGCTGCTATGTGTTTTATAAGGCATTTGTATACAAATATTTGCACGCTTTACTTATACCCTATAG